CTCAGAAGAACAGCATTTATTTGAAATAGAAATCTTCTGTAACATTATAAATGTCTTTACTGGCACTTTTGATCAATTTAATGCATCCTTGCTGAATAAAAGTATTAATTTCTTTAAAGAAAAAATAAATATTACTGACTCTGATGGACCTGATTGGGTCATGTTTTACAGCACATTACTTCAGTATGGTATACGGAACTCTATTAAAGGAATAGTTCACCAAAAATAAAAAAATTGCTGAAAATGTACTGAAAATGCAAAATGTAATATGCCTCAGGCCATACCAGATTAGGGTGAGTTTGTTTCTTCATCAGATTTGGAGAAATGTAGCATTGCATCAGTGTCTCCGCAATGGATGCTCTGCAGTGAATGGGTGCCGTCAGAAATTAGTTGATGTGTCCAAGTTATGCAGGTTTTCGTGTCTTGAGGAAAATATTTAAGAAGTGCACCTGAACTATTCATGGCTGAATTTTTCCTCAGGCTTCAGCTTTATCATCCTTATGTTTCGGCGTGATTGCTAAACACATGACTTTGTTGGGGGGAATCTTTTCAGCTCTTGTTTCAAACTGTTTATGGCCAGCTGTAAATGGGTTAAAGTGTGTTTGGTGCTCTGGACAGGTGGTATCTGGGAAATGTAAACAGGTTGCATGATAGATGCATAAATTGTTTGGCCTGCAAAGTCATTAAAATGCGGTGTATGTATTGATTTTAAACTCTTTTTTTTTTCATTTTCAGCTCCAGGTGAACCGAGAGAAGAAGTGTGTTGACAGCATTATGCATCATATACTGCACGCAAGTGTGCAAACTGTTATCTGTGTGTGTGTATATAATACCACATTAATGATGTAACCAGTTTTAAAGCTTCATTTTAGAAAGAAAACTAAATTGAGCTTTTCTTAGAAAGCTTGTGAATGCATGTGATTGTTCAAGGAATTTTTCACCCAAAAATGAGCATTAGCTGGAAATGTGCTCACCCTCAGTCCAAACAGCTGATAAAAACATCACAATAATCCACAAGTAATCCACAGCACTCCAGTCCATCAGTTAACATCTGGAGAAGACAAAAGCTGAAACTAATCCAGCATTAAGACATTTCTGAACTGTTTAAACGGTGCTTGATCTGCGCAGATTTCTCTCCTGGTTCAGACCAGACCACTTTTTCACCGGAGGAAGCGTTATTATGGATTATAGACTCGTATCTTTGTTAAAAACATTATGCAACATTAACACTTAATGCTGGATTTGTTTCAGCTTTTGTCTTCTCCAGATGTTAACTGATGGACTGGAGTGCTGTGGATTACTTGTGGATTATTGTGATGTTTTTATCAGCTGTTTGGACTCTCATTCTGACGGCACCCATTCACTGCAGAGCATCCATTGCTGAGACACTGATGCAATGCTGCATTTCTCCAAACATCTTAATGCTGGATTAGTTTCAGCTTTTGTCTTCTCCAGATGTTAACTGATGGACTGGAGTGCTGTGGATTACTTGTGGATTATTGTGATGTTTTTATCAGCTGTTTGGACTCTCATTCTGACGGCACCCATTCACTGCAGAGCATCCATTGCTGAGACACTGATGCAATGCTACATTTCTCCAAATCTGTTTTGATTTTGAGCACATTTTCAGTTTCGGGTGAACTATTCCTTTAACCCTTTGTAGTAAATGTTGTGTATTGGGGTGAATGTGTGAGACCTTGGAGGCTCTGAAGCAGAAGGCTGTGAACGTGGTGTCTGATCTCTCTCTGTCCTGCAGCACGACGCCTCGGTCCTCCGTAAGCGCCAGATAGTGACCGGTGGTCAGGTGACGCAGACGGAACGGCTGACCCCAGCGGATGTGACTGCCACACCAACTGAACACACACAGAAATGGGAATTATGGGTATGTACGGTCACATAATTACTGGAGAACATCCTGGAGGGCTTTTGACTTGATGGAAACCAGAGCACTAGATCTTCTCACCTGATGCGTAACGGCTCCAGCCTCCAGAGAGATCGGGCTTTTGCTCCGGCTTTACCCGTCTCATAGTTCACCAATCTGAAAAACACCAATGAAAACAGGTTTACATACTGAACTGATGCCTAAACAGGCTGTGGATTTGATTTAGAAAGTTAAACGACTCTAAAATGACATGTCTAAATGGTTTTAGACACAATATTGTCTGTTTTTGCTCTATTTTGCCAACAAAAATAGTTCCAATCTGTTGTGCAAACCTCTGAGGAACCAACCACGGTGTTTCTTTACTGAATGAATCAGCATCTGTGAACGAATCAATGATTCGTTCATGAACAAATCAGTAATTTGAATGAAATGTTTGAATCAATCACCTGATGACTCACTTGCTAAATACAGGCAGTGGTACAGTATTTAATTATTTAAAATTTCATTTCATCTTTCAATATTCAAATTATTATTTTTTAAACGATCTCAAAGCATTATTTATGCAAACGTTACTGCAGTGTAAATACATCAAAATGCTGCTTCTGTGCTACTTCTGCAGTGCAAAACTAGATTTTGTTGATAATGATTTTGTTTGGTTGCTAACAGCCTATAGTGTCTTATTGAATAAAATGTATTGATTAATATGCATTATCTAATATGTCAAAATCTTACTTGCAAATTCTAAAAAGGTTATAAAAAAATTGCCCTTATCCAGGTAAAAATGCCTCTGGAAATCAATTTAATGTGGTAAATGCCGTTGCTTAAATGAAAAAGTTAATTTCTGTCACTGCTGTGAATGGATCACACACAGAAAATGAGGAATGTGAAACATTTTGGGAGTCATCTCTCCATGACAGGCATAAACCAGCACAAAAACACACTTAGCAAAATAACTTCTAAATATTAGACATCGACCAATTGGTCAGTTTTGCCGATTAATCGGCACCGATAACCAATTACTGGAACAGCGTAACCGATAATCGGTTGCTACATTGTGTTTTTTTATCATTTAGAGTCCATTTTAAAAACTTTTGGTTGATTAATCTGTTATCGGCCAGTGTGGTCGAACCTAGTAAAACCCATTATCAGTTGACTTCAACTAATTATTACTTCCAACAAAATCCTAGTTAATATTGAGATATAATCTTTCATTATATAAGTGTATTAAGGGTGTGCGATATTGACAAAGCGAATCGGTTATCAGTAAAAATACATACTGATAGTTTTTCTGGGTTGCTATGTTATGTTTCTTCTAATTTAGTATCCATTTGAAAAACTTTGGGTTGATTAATCAGTTATCGGCTAGTGCAGTCCAACCTAGTTATCGTTATTGGTAAAACCCACTATCGGTCGACCTCGACTAATTATTACTGTCAACAAAATCCTAGTTAATATTGAGATATAATCTTTCATTATATATGTGTATTAAGGGTGTGCGATATTGACGAAGCTAAACGCTAAACCTGACTTAAACTAACCTGACCTACAACTAACATGCTTTAAGAGGTTTTCTGTTAACAGTGTCTCTAAAGAACATAACATGATCGCTGATGGCTTTACTGATCTCACGGATGCGTTCACCTATTTTATAGAACAAACATTCTCTCCATCACTTAGCAAAATAATGTCTAAATATTAGAGGTCGATCAATTGATCAGACTAATCGGCACAGATAATCGATTGCTAGAACAGAATAACCGATAATCGGTTATCAGTAAAAATCCATACTGATAGTTTTTCTGGGTTGCTGTGTTATGTTTCTTATAATTTAGTATCCATTTTAAAAACTTGTGGTTGATTAATCGGTTATCCGCTAGTGCGGTCCAACCTAGTTATCGTTATCGGTAAAATCAGTCGACCTCAACTAATTATCACTGTCAACAAAATCCAAGTAAATATCGAGATATAATCTTTTGTCAATTTCTCACACCCCTAATACACACATATAATGAATTTAACAATAAAACTGACTTAAACTTACCTAACCTACAACTAACGTGCTTTATAAGAGGTTTTCTGTTCACGATGACTCTAAAGATGAACATCACATGATTACTGACGGCTTTATTGATCAGTTCAGATGCATTGCACATCTCATGGAGGACGTTCTCTTATATTATAATGAACAATCACTCTCTCCATCACTTATACAACAACAGAAATCATTCATTCCTGCCCTCCGCGGTGACAGATCTGCGATACATCTGAAGGAGGTCCTGCAGAAAATCCTTTAGAGGAAGACGTTTCTCTGATTAGATTTCAAGGACAGGACGCAGCGTCACGGGTCAGAGCTGACAACCGATATCTAATTCTGCAGATGACGCGCTAAACGCCAGCGCTAAAAATAGGCCGCACGCCTACGATCGCATCTTCAGCATCCTCAGATGGCCCTGGGTTACATTAGCTTGACCCACTTCAGTCTGACACACACTCGCTATACATAGACAAACAGCCATCACGCCGGATCCTAGGGGATGTTGCGTCACAGACCCACATCCAGATGAACATCACAGATAAATGACACATCATTCTGACACCACTTCTTTAGACCAGCATTTGTGGTTAAAAAGTATATAAATGTTTATTTTTCTTAAGAAAATGAGCGATGGTGTCTCTAGATAAGACTCTTATTCCTCGGCTGGGATCCTGTAGAGCTCTTTGAAGCTGCACTGAAACTGTGATTTAGACCTTCAGCTCGTTGGTCCCCATTGAAGTCCATTATATGGAGAAAAATCCTGCATGTTTTCCTCAAAAAACCTTCATTTCTTTGCGACTGAAGACAGACAGACATGATCATCTCGGACGACATGGGGGTGAGTAAATTACCAGGAAATTTTTATTCTGGAAGTGAACTAATCCTTTAACTAATAAAATAAACAAAGAAAAATTTACGTTAGTAATAAAAATGCCCATGGCCTTTTAAGATTGGATTAATTTCCATGACTTTTCCATGTGTAGAAATCATACTTTTAAAATGAGGCTTCCTCATATATATCCAGTTTTTTTCCAAGACTATGTGAATCCTGGTTCTTTAAAGACAAAGGATTAATTAAAATAACAAATATTATTTAAGATATATGTTTTGTCTTATTTCAAGTCATCTTAAGGCCCTTTTTTGAGTCTCCACTAATGTAGATGATGATTGTTTTGAGATGCAGGGTTACTATAGTTAAAACCACAGCAACAAAATGTTTTAATTCTCTCTCTCTCTCTCTCTCTATATACACATACATATATATATATATATATATATATATATATATACACATACA